ACCGTGGGCGAAGGTACGTAATCTCGGCACGGCGTGTCGATTTCCGATGATTTCCAGAACGAAGTAACGGCCCGATTACGTGATTCACGATGGCTAAGTATTTACAGAAGAGCGAGGGCAATATGAGAGAAAGAGAGAGAGAGAGAGCACCCCATTATTTTTCTCCGTTCTTTTATCTCCGCGCGCGATACGTCTTTTCCCGTTTTCTTTCAGCTTACGTAACTCTCCTAGAGATTTCTCTCGTATATTTGCGAGCTTTTGACTGGAAAGATACTTTCCAGGCAATTCCATATCTCAAGACTTTGTAAATCTTTATATATTTCGATCGCAGCGTGCTAATAGCGAAATTACAGAATTGAAGTTATATTATTGCTACTGTATTATCGCTTTAATATTGAAGAGGCAAGACCAAATGCCGATTTTCTCTCATTAATCTCCTCGAATTTTACCGTCAACCATTTGTAGCCGCTACGACATACAAATGATTTCCGTTTTCATATTGTAATTGAACGTTATGGACTAGATTATCGATACGGGATACTTTATATTACGAAGTTGTATTGAAAGACTTGCGAATCATAAATTTTTATTTCGCCACCGTGCATACGGCCAGCTACTTGCCCGCGGGACGATTGGGTCACTAAATAAAGTCCACGAAAATGGGCTTCTATACCTTCATGTTTGGAAATAGTTTGCCGAATCGATCGGGGCTAAAACTAACCCCCGGCGCGAACCGTCCGGGCGATTTTTGTCGCAGCAACAAGTTGCCGGGCGGAATCGCTCGCCCCCGCCGAGTCGGGGAGAGAGGGAGGCAAGAAACGCATTATTGTAATGTCGTCGACGGGACGAGCGCCAGCTTTCATTCGATACTGACATCGGAAAGTCTATACGCACGAGCTAATGTTCCCTGTAAAAATTTTTTTGTAGTACTATGCCTAGAAAACCAGACTATATATGATCAGTTAATCTGCAAATCACTAATATTATATACTCCTAATAAAGAATATTACTAATAGGCTTCAAGCATCCACAAAATTTTCTCTCTGAGAAAAAAAAAATATATATATATATATATATATTTTTTTTAATTACTCGGTATATATTGATCATGGAAATTTTCTTTCATTGATACACTTTATCTCTCTCTATAAAAAAAAGGCAGAGTATATTAACAGAAATTTTCAATGAGAGAGGACTTCTTTTGATAGACATAGAATATATGCGGGTAATGCAGGCAATATAACAGCGATAAGTACAATTGACCGAGCTGGAATGCGAGCCGCGATCAGGACTATTGATAACGTTTACGCGCCGGCTCGATAGTAATCTCGGAGCCTTCGTAGACTATTTGAGGCCACGTTATTCAGTGTCAAAGACGAACGAGGACGACGTCGTTACCCGGCGCCGCCGGCTTTCTCTCACGCTCGGTTTCTTCCGCGTGGCAAAACCGCGGCCTTGCTTGCACGCCTTTCACTCTTTTTTTCGTACCATATTTACGCTAAGTCCCGTTGAGCTCCATTCATGCCAGCGAGACGCGATGGCAGCAGCAGGTGTTGCTGGCGCGACTGAAATAAATACGGATCGTTCGCTCTCTCTCGTAGATAGATAGATATTACCACCCAGAGGCTCTTAACCTACGGATTATAACCCCGTGGGTCGACACGATCTTTTAATAGAGTGGAATTTCCTCCTACACACACCCGACGTGATTCAGCATGTCGCGTCGGCCGGTCGACGTAATGAAAAATGCTGATCCGACCGACTCGCGCGCCTCGTGAAGCTAATCGTCCGCACTTCCGAACTGATCTAGTGCAAATCGAAAAGGATCGCCAATCATGGGCGTTTAAAGATATATAAGAATAAATGTCAATAAAAATTAACTCGATAATATTAAAATGCAAGCGATCAAAAAGTCCTGGAAATAAAAAATATTTTTTTAAATGCGCTAAAATTTTCATTTATCGGGGATTAATTTAATCTGTGAACGGCGATTCTTTGCCCGATTTCTCGGAATAAATAAGAATGTCTATCTCTGCGCGCTTCATCGCGTGACTTAATCGACTAGAATGTGCCGATTGGATTGAATCATGGTCACGAAGCTCGATGTCTGAACTTTGTCTGCGACTCGACTGGGAAAAAGAGGCTAAGAACCGCTGGGGCTCTCTCTGTGCTGGTAGACAAAGGAGCAACTCGAGGTCTGTCTAACTGAAATCACGTCATTGACCGGAGAGAGAGAAGAGCCGTTTCTGCTGCGGGCGCACGCACGATGCACGCACGCGTATACGTACATTGTACGCGTCCCACGCGTGAGAGTGTCTTCATGACGTCGCGCTGTGGACCGCACGGTTTCCTTGCCTAAGCAAGGGGGCGAAATAATGAGAAAGAGCCGCCACATGTGGACGGAAGACACAATATACCACATGCAAGCTAACTCCGTTTTGAGAAAGAGCTTATTATATATATATATACCGTGAATCATCACACTTTTTCAAGAGACTACCTTATTAAACGTGTTATTGAATGAAATGAGAGTAGTGTGTTATGTCCTCATAAACTTAATTTTTAAAATTGAATTATATGATATTGTTTTGACGAAATAATGTATGACTCATCCTATATATATCGCGGGAACAAGCATCCATATGAAAAATGATAGTTCGTTAAAATGTTCTAATGATTATTATCATTGTGATTCACAGGAATACATCAGCCATTACTATGGAGGACGTTTGATTTTAGTCGACGTTTCACTATCGAGTTACGCGAGCGAATGTAAGGAACATGATAAGTCGCTTTTTATTTTTGCCCAGATTATTAAATTCTAACAGCTTTTCGCATCATCGTGACATTTACGGCTAAATTTACGCGGTAGTATTATATTATCGTGTTAATTAATGATGCTATAAAAGAAGTACTAATGCAACAATGCTGCACTGACATTTGCTCGCTCCAGAAGATTGAAAACTTCCCTTTTTTATTATCTGAAATCTATATTAAGTATCCGAATGTTACTTGACAGATTAATTATATCCATTGGTTTTACGACGCTGCATATATTGCACTTTTATCGCGGCTTTATATATAATGACCAATAATGTGAAAATCCAAAATATAGGTCGCGAGAGAAACGACCTCGCGCGTCTTTCTATTTTTATGACCCCGCAAAACTTTATCAATTTGTTAAGAAGATTCGATGCGACGAAATAGCAATGCAAATCGCCATGAATTCCGATTAAGCATAAAAAATATAGACTAATGAGAGTTAGGCGTCGTTTCGCGCAACTTTCCGTTCGCGCAATTTAATTACAGCCACGTGGAAGAAGTTAATGAAGTAAATAACCGCCGGTTTCATACATTATTCAACCGAGTTAGAAACATCTCGCACACCCGATTTACGAACTTTTCTGCCCCTTCCTCCTCCCACCGCCCCATTTCCCTATTCCTTCCACCCGGAAAAGTTCCCACAACTGCATACATCATCGAGTCGGGCGATCAGTTTACCACCTGGGTGAGATGCAACTCGTCCCAGCCCTATACACGCAAACCGCTCCGAAAATTCGAACCGTTCTTAAGAAGAAGACTCCAAGCTTCTCTCGACATTCTTAAACTTTCGGATGTCCGAGAGTTATTCCGTTTACGGAACTATCCAAGATGAGATCAAACTCGATTTCTTATCCTTCATATTTCTTCATCTTACTAGACTTTTCAACATTCCGAATTTCTTCGATATGATCTTCCGTTTCTTAGATCATCCGCATTTGAATCGTTTCAACTTATCTGTTACAATAATATTCAACGATCAAGTTTTTCGAAATTCAAGATAAATAAGAGACAACTGCGAAAATAATAGACGAATAATACAAGCAGATTTTTATCCACTTTTGAAAAAAAAAATTTGTTTTGCAGTCATTGTTGATCTCATATTGGATATGGAAGGATTAAATAACGTTGAAATGAACAAGTATCGCTGAACGGGTGGATCCACCGATCATTCCGAATCGTGAATTTCATGAAAAAAATCGGGCGACATGACGTATGACAGAAGTGTCACTCCGAAACATAATCGATTTCCTGTGGCTCTCTAAAAAACTGTGCAAGCGACAGTTCTCTAATAACAAAATTGATGTAAAATTTCGAAAAAATAGAAACTTGTGTTTAAACAAAGCTGACGAAAAAATAATGAAGTAATCAGATTCTAATAATAATTGATTTCTGTTTAACATTCTATGCCCTTTAAGAATAAAATAACTTATAAGAAAGATACATTATATATGTCTTTTTATAAACTTTTCACTAACTTTATTTATACTTTTTTATTTTATTCATTGTCAAACTAGAATTTAATATACGTAGAACATTGAAAAATTAGATCACCATTTGAAATTTCCACATTTCTGACGACTTTGTTAGTGACATAATTCATAAAGCACACACGCCTTTGATCTCGATAGAAATTATCGACGCGAGTGTTCTAACGGCTGGATGCATAGTTAGTATAATTCAATGACTCACGCTAATTTTCTTCGCTTTCATCAAATTCTTTTGTCGGAATTTGTTGGAATATTTTTGACGTTTATTAAAAAAAAAAATTACAAATTCAACAATGAAATAATACGCGGTTTAAAGGCAAAAAAAAATACTAAATGTAGTAAAATTTTTAATATTTTAGTATAAAATACTAAAAATGCTAAATGAAAAACATCACAGAAACGTTCAACAATAATCGAGAAACATCTGTCAGTCCTCTCATTACGCCACGGAACACGTTGCACAATCATTGACGACGAGCGTTCGCTGCATTGAAATTTCCCGTCAGCGCTCATATGGTAGCGTGCGTTGTACGCGTTCGTTCATTTAAATACAATTCTCGCGCGCACGGTTATACCTCCGTGAAAGTCCAAGGACACGTAGAGTTGTGGTGCACATTCGCGTGACGTCATCACATCGAATCGCGATTCCAGTGAGAAACACACGGGTATTTTATACGATGAGACGCTTACCTGAGAAAGATCGGAGTCGTCGCGTATCTTAGCGTCCATGGTCACATGACTGGCGTGGATTCTCGGCGTCGCGACGACGAGCGCCGCGGCGAACAGGAACGTCAGCATCGTCCTTGCGGCAATTATCAGAGCACACGAGAGACAATTCACCAATTCACTAACTCGCGGATAACGTTCACCACGCGGACGATCTACGATGCGTATCGATCACCGATGGATCATCGACGAGAGTCAACGCGACACTGACACCGCGTTCGCGAGACGTCGCGGAGCCGGAAGTTCTCCACGGACGGACAATAGGATGATTATTTGCGCGTCGGCAATTAACGATTGCGAAATTGCCGATTGATGAGTGAGCGCGAGACCGCGCGATCGTTTCTCCCTCTCTCTCTCTCTCTTTTCTTTCTCTCTGGTCGTCATTTCTGCGCCCTCTCCATGCCTCAACCCCTCTTATCCCCCACCAGCCGCGTCGGAACGAGTCTTCGGCGTGGCAGCCGAGTTTCCCCCTCCACTGCCGTACTCCTCCTACGCGTGCGACTGCCGTGAACACGTGACGTCACCCACCTTTTTGTTACGCAGCGATCGCGTCGCGCGGATTATGATACTTTAATTCTCATATCGATACATCTCTGTTCCGATTTTCGTGCCGAGATAAAATTCTAAACGGAAATTGAATATCAAACAAACTGTGCTTGGTATAATGGATGCGTTTCGTGTGCGTGACGATATTACGTGTTGAAAACCGATATGGTCTTTCCTTAACAAGATATCCAAACAATGAATAGTTTACAAAAACAAACGGGCAAATTGTTTTTCACGAATGTAAATATATAACTACGCTCTATTATTCAACCATTATAAATTGAGTTTATTTTACCAAGATCTTGATTTGAGCTATGAAAAATTCAGTGTTAAAGATATATTTAATATTATAAAATTTTTCAACTATACAAAAAGAATATAGTGCAAAAATTATAGCATCTAATTAAATTTCAATACAAGAAAAGTCATTTCAACAAAAGCTATCATCTGTATAATTGATTGTCGAATATATTTTAACTGTATGCGCATGTATGAAGTATTATTATCAAATCAATGTTAAATAAAGAAAAACAAGATCGTGCAAAAAATAATATTCTTGATTACAATTTCAAGCATTTAATGTAATCCATTACTCGAATTATGATAATGGTCGAATAAAGTTTCTTACAATTGTTGATGGGAATGCCTCTCTTCGAGGCAAACATAATGTAGCTACATTCTTCAATCTAAACGAATTAAGTAAGTGAATTAAATTATCTTTTTCAGAGTGTAAGCTGAGTTGTAAGCCCTATAACTTACCATTTAAACGGATATAAGATAAGATAGCTAGATTGTACTCTACGTTCTCGGTTTAAAATTCCTACTTTTCATACTTACAGATAAAATTTTTTGTCCATAAATGACGTAAATAAAATTTTTACTAGAAATAAAAAATCTACTTGACGTAAAATAATTAAACCGTTAAAAACTTGAGATTAAGTTTTAAAATACACTTATATTCTTTTTCGAAGATAAACTAGTATATTACGGAGAAAGATTATTAATTTACAATTTAACGATGCTAGCTATATACTAGATATTTATAATATCATCTTATATCGCGGAAGGAGAGCAAAAGAGAGAGTTAGAGAGATACAGGATCAAATTGGGAGCGATATAATTGCCAACTCCAACAGAAGTTCACGGGGTATTTACTAAGTGGAGTGGACTTGGACCAATTCTCGAAACCACTTGAGGCATAGCGCGGATTAAGGAAAGATCCTGATCACGAATATAAACGCATAGGTCCGCGCGGAACTTCCGTATTGTGTCCCGTTCTCTGCTTGTACAAACGTTAAGTTCGTCCCAATCCACCCTAGTAATTAGAGTACTTTAGATACGTCTCTTTCACTTCTCCCCCTATTCCTCCTCCCTCATTCCCGACGGCTAGACTAACTTAGACTCGCTTGAAACACGCGGTGTGACACGGTGTTACTCTAGTCGCGAAATAACATTTTCGAGAGACGACGTTATTCGCTGATAGAGTTCAACAAATTTCATCGACGCTGCAGAATTAATCGGCTGGAAATATGTTTTCCTGCTCGGAGTTTAGCAAATGTTTGACTAACGAATAACAGTTTGTGTGCACGAGGGGAGGAATATTTAGTTATTAATACGCAAACGCACGCCTCCTGTTCTACCGCGTAACAATATACAAAAGTGTTGCGGAAAACAAATCATATTACACTTTCAGCGAAACCCGATATCAGTTCTTCGACAAATTTACCCTAGAAATTTGAGAAACATTAAAATTCTCCGAGTACAAGCGCGCAGCAAAATTTTCAAATTCCCGAGTGCACACGAGGATCCTAACGTCGCAATTTACAGATTCCGTGATCGAAGGATCGCGCGATTTGAAGCGCTAAAGCACGGGAAAGCTCGTAGTATACGAGAGCCCCAGGGGCGTCGACCCTCAATTACGAATCTCACACCCTCGGGCTTCTCTCGTAGCCGGCTATCGTCGGGGAAGCTCGCTCGTTTCTTAAAGACGAAACAAACTCGACCATGAAAAGAAAAGCTAAGTGCTCGTGACATTCCCCACGGCGGCCTCTCACGTTCACCATTTTTCTCGGCGGACCATAATCCTCTACGAGCGGGCGTAATTTTTAATTACTTCCCAGCGACTCCCTCTTGCACACATTTTTTTGCGCGCCGATTTTCCTCGCTATCTCTTTTTATCCTTTGTGATAATGGAATTACTTGATTGATAAACTGAGTTTATTTCTAAACCATTATTTTGCACTTTGTCAACCGATTTGTGTAAATGCAAAAATAGAAATTTAGTTATTTAAAAAAAGATAAGATTCTAAGATTCGAGATCTAAGTTCGAAAACACTTTTTTTTTTTATGAATAGGATACTGAAGACTTTACGACCATAAAAGTTGAGGATTTAAAGATCGAAAAGTTTCAATATTTAAAAGACATTTATATGTGTTCTAGAATATATTAAAATAATAAATTGTTATGCTTCAAGAGCTGCGCATTCAATTTATCTTTCTCCAACGCTTGATTATGCGCGGCAATAAAATCGTTGATGCGTGCTCGAATAATTCAGCGCTAAATCGCGCTAAATCACCTAATAACTATCCTCGTATCATTTCTACTTCCGATCTCGGCCATGTACTATATTCGCGGCTGTATTCGCGAATAGGACGCGTCAAGCGTTTTATCGCCGCGCTGCAACCGGCTGTTATTCTTTTTTAGAGCTGGGCCCTCCGCGGGGGAGGGGCCCCACCGCTTTTGTTTTCGCCAACTGGAGCGGCCCGCGCGATTAACTGACCGTCCGTCGTCCAACGATCCCGGTCTCGTTGGACGAAAAAAAATAGACCGATCTCGCCTCTACCTCTCTCTCCCTTTCCTCTCTTTCTCTCCCTCTCTGAACTCGAACGAATTTACGGAGGCGCGTAACCGCAGCACGTAAAACGTCATTCGAACGACGAGAGAGCGGGAAATTGCGACGAATATTTTAACACGACG